CGTCTGTGTTTTGCTTGAACTAGTTAGGGGGAGGAAGCAAGGGACCAGCGAAGGAAAATACGATAGGATCTCTCAAAGATATAGAAGATTTGGCGGACCAAAACACCATGGCGAGGCTAAGGGCTTAATTTGTGGTAAACAGCGAAGTGTTCCTCTGTTGTTTAAAACATTGTTACATACAATTTATTACGTGTAGCATTGCCAATATTTTAATTATACTAACATAAAAATTATGTTAGTGTTCAATTAATGATTATTGTTTAAAAGTGTTGTGCATATATATATATAATAACGCAAATATATAACACATTAATTAAAATATTTATGAGAATATACCAAACAGCTCATTTCTTAACTAGCTAGTAATGACTAATGAAGTAATGGTCAAATGATTCTAACACAATATTTGAGAGACTATGGCATTTAATTATTAAAAAATTATTTTATAATTTAAATTGTAAAACAATGAATTCTTTAGTAATCCCTGTCCAACTACAAAAACAAAATTAAAGGAAATCAAACCTGATCTATCACCTAAATAACGATAGATGTACCGTTCAACCCACAAAAACAAAACACAGAGAACAACAACATTACCTTGCAATCAGATTTCACGGGTCAAGGGTGACCTGTAGACAGGGAGACAACTTTTGTGCCGTGAACGTCATTCTAATTTCAGAATTAAAAGTTTTAATCCTTCCTTTAAGCAATACTAATGGTGTATTTGAGATTATTATAAAGTGTTATGATTGTGATTGTATTAAATTATATTATATTATAACTGTGATTTAAAGTTAATTTATTATTTGATTATTTATTTTTTAAAAGTATTGAGAATGACATATGATTAATTTTATTAATTATTAATTAAAATTTAAAAAATATTATATGATATACAATTATTAAAATAAATATCATTTACTACATCTTAATAATTTAGGATTTTTGGGTTTCCTATGATAAGTGTAGTTCTATTGGATTTTATGGGTCAATAACTTATAACGAGGGAATCAATTTTTAAATTTTTATAAAATTTTTAAATAGATAAAAAGTTAAGTTTAAATAAAATATTATAAACTATGATATAATTGAATTACTTGATATTAGATTTTAATATGTAATTTTATAATTATATTAAATATTAGGTGTTATTTATAAAAGTTATAGTTAGAAAACTCTAAAATGAGGTTTTTAACTTTCTATATAAAATTGTATGGGTTTATTATAGTTTTCTATAGTTTTTAAAAAACGTAATATGAAAAAAATCATCAAACACACATATTATACAACTATAAGAAAAAACTTCAATTGTAATTTTAAATGCACTCTAATCTTAGTTGACTTTTTATTTTTAAAATAAAAAAATTTTGGCAAAAATTTAATATAATAAATGAGTTTCATTTCAAAATTTTTTCTTTTCTTTTCTTTTTTATATGTATAGTTTTTATTTAGTAGTTATATTTGATAAAAATATTTTTAATTGTCTGTCTATAAAATGCTTTAATTTTTTCACTACCATAAAATATTTTTATTTTATAAATTAAAAGGTTAAACTAACACTTGTATTGAAGGAAAATACAAAAATTAATGAATATGTGAGAAAAGTTTGTAAAATAATTGATTAAATTAAATATATATGTGCTTCATTACTTGTATAGTTAAGAGTTCAAAATCCTATTCTTACTTCCCACTCTTTTTTCCTACAAAGGTTTTAAATTTTAACTAGTTAACTTGTTTTATTAAAAAATTAATTTTTTTTGAACATTAGTTAATAAAAAATATTTCTCTTATTTTTAAATTTCTCAATACCTATTATAAAATTTAAATTTTAAATTTTAAATGCAAACATTTTAACTCTTAACTATTACAAAAAATTTAGTATAACTCTGAGATATAACAGACGTAACATCTTAAACTAATCGAAAAAATATGACATTAATTTTTTTTCACACTTCATTAATAAAAAATAAAAAAGTTAATGCTGTGATTTTAAATTGGCTTGAGATATCACGTCTGCCATACGCAGGGCGACATCAAACTTTCTCTAACCACTGGGCAGGAAACAAAAATTAATGTATATTTGGAATCTGATTTTTTGTTTGGCGGGAAAAGATGAACGGCATACCCAAAAAAGAAAAAAAAAGTCATATTCGTCTAAAATTATTGCCGCCTATTTTGACAGAGTTACTCAGTTACACACTTACACGTCAGTATTACGCGAGATTATTTACCCCCAGCCTCAAATTCGAGCCCTAATCCAAACAACGGCACTCTCAGTCAGGAGCAGGCGCAAGAAAGATGTCGCACTTCGGCAAATCGGGTCCGCCGGATATCAAAGACACTTACTCCCTCCTCGTCCTCAACATTGCTTTCCGTACTTCCTCCTCCCCTCCGCCTCTATTTTACCTCATCCTCCCTATTCTCCATTCACTCTTTTTTTCTTTTTTTTTTTGTTGATTCTTTAGGCACCATCGCAACGACCTCTTTCCTCTCTTCGATAGGTACGGAAAGGTCGTCGACGTCTTCATCCCTCGGGACCGAAGGTAATGCCTTCATGTGTTGTTGTGTTTGTATGGAGTGATGTTGTTAGTATTCTCTATGATTTTGGGGGGTGAATACAGGACTGGAGAATCGAGGGGGTCTGCTTTTGTACGGTATAAGTACCAAGATGAAGCACAGAAGGCGGTGGACAAGCTTGATTGTTATTATTATTATTTTTTTCATGACTCCTAAATTAGTCCTTTATTTTTTTTTTTTTCCGAATTTTGTTTGATTTTACTGATTGAGTTGGATTTGTTTTTTCGTGCCTTTTTAGGGAGAGTTGTGGATGGAAGAGAGATTATGGTTCAGTTTGCCAAGTATGGGCCTAATGCAGAACAAATGTGAGTTTCTCGTTGTTCTTGATTGTTCGATTTCAGTGCATCCATGAGGTTATTCTTAATGCCCTATCGTTACTGTTTAGTTATGTATAAAAGTTGCGTTTTTCATTAATTTGTTTTCACTTTCATGGGAAATGGAATTTGATGTAACTGAACAACATAATTAGCATCATAATGTAATGGAATTTTCACCGTTACAGAATATCTACTGTTCCAAAAGTCTTCGATGGCTAAGTTAGCTGCATTTTCTTTTTTTCTTTTGTAGAATGCACATCTGTTTTCGATTGTTGCTATCTTAATTGAAGTGTGCTGTTACTTTATTTTTTTCAGTCATAGGGGGAGAATAGTAGAAACATCTTCAAATGGAAGAAGAAGGTCAAGGAGCTGAAGTCCTTGTCGAAGGTAATGGTCTGTCTCTAGAATATGTGTCTTAAATGAGTGGGTCTACCAAACAGTCATTATGCATTTTAAATATCTATGTGATTTGAGCTTTTTAAGCTAACATTCAGGTCAGTAGGTCATTCTAGTCTTATGTTTTTAAGTTAAATGCTCATTATAAGTTAGTAGTGAATTATGGCATTGATCATGGCCTGGTAAAGCTTTCTTTTTAATCATGCATCAATAAGGCAAGCTCTAATCCTTTCATTCACCTACTGCCCATGTGACAGACAATTTTCTTTATTAAAATTAGTTTTTACATTATCCTTGAACATATATTTGCCATTGTTGCTCTTAAGATTGAGATATCACTTCATCTCTTTGAACCTTTGATCTAGCTAAATATGATATCTTTGGATTTTTATGAATGATACAAAATCTTGATCTTAACTTTTCCAAGTTTGGACCTAGTAAAAGAGATTATATGACTTCATTTTTACCTCCTAATGACAGTGTAAGGGACTTGCTAGCTGTGTCAAGCTATGGATGTTTTTTTAGAAAAGAACTGCAATATCTTGATGTTTGATGGGTCTATCTCTGTAAATGAGAAAGGAGGTTCTCACATCATTTGTGTTTTGATGAGCTAAGAGACAAGGAGACTGTTAATCATTTTTCAGATTGTTTGGTCAGTGTTAGAGGGCCTGTTATTGCATTCTAATCATATTGGTTAAAATTCTGTTGTTGGAAATGCAAAAGAAATGGAAGGGATGAATGTAGAGAATGCATTGAGAACTGAAAAGTTGAATTACATATACGTAAAGAATTAGTTGAGCTTTTGATGCATTAGGATCTGTGCAATACTCATTAGTAGTTGGAAAGTATGTGACAGTTTTAACGTGATTACATTTGGTGTCAGCTATTGAAGGGTTATTTTCCCTTCTCTTAATATTTTGATTCTGAATGTGACTTATTTGTCTGAAATTTGACTTCAGTTTCTGATGGACAACATTTTCAGGTATCATGATGAATATAGGGACAGGGAGAATAGGAGGAGAAATTGTAGTAGAATGAAGGGATAAATATGATTGTGACAGGTACCAGGGCAGGGAAAGGGATGATCATCATTGAAGCATGAGCCGGAGCATCAATCCTGATCACCAGTCATTGTGGGAGGAATAATCAGAGGGCCCGGTCTAATGGAAGGTAGCAACTTTGCCTTCTATTCACATCTTTTTTTTTTTTTTTTTCATCAATAAATTTTTGCCTTCCTTCATCACCTATTTTTTTCTTATTGGGTGGTTAAAATGCCTTTCCACCTTGCTATAGCCCGAACTCTAGGAGCCAATCTCCTTGCAGGACACATCATGGATTTGAGAATCCTGATGAACACAATGGTAACGATGATTCTCCTGGACCAAGAAGTGTTTCACCATGTGGCTGGCGTGCCGATTCTCAAAGCATGTCTCCTCATAGGTCCTATAGTGATGTGAGTAGCTGTACCAGATTTTGACCTATTAATTAACACGTTCCAAAAATTGTGCTAATCCTTTCATACTGGCATTCTCCGTTTTGTAGGAATGATGGCAAAATGCCATGTCCTTAACGCATCACATCCGAGTGAGTTGGACTTAACTGGTTCTGTAATGCAGAAGAAATATTGAAGTAATGCTTACTATCAGCAAAATATTGAGTTATAGAGTTGGCTGCAAGTAGTGTTTATTGAGGTTTAAGTTTCTTTGTTGAAGTTTCTTTGCTAAAAATGTATCACTTCTATTCTTTATCAGTTGATATTTTCTGCTTTATGCTTGTTACTTGAGAAACAAATTGCGTTGTTGATGTATTTTTGTGACAAGCTTGCATGTATTTATTCAAGATCTTTGCTCTGTACTCTTTTTTAGGCTCTTGAATAAATTTCATTGTTTTATAATTAGTATATATTTCCTTGATTTGGAAAATCACAGTAGAAAAACTTCATTACCTAATCCTCTTTGAAGTGTTCTTATAAAGAAGAAATCCCTTTTAAGACAGTGGGCGTTTTAAGATGGTGGGTTCACACCACCCTCCCCCGCTACTTCCGGTAAATAGAAAAGTTAAAATGTGAAAGATCAAAACTATAATGTGTGAATGATGAAGAGTCATCTATTTTAATTCTTGCGTCCTTCTCCAAAATAAATTGTGCGGTCAAGACCTTTATAGAAAAAATGAGTCAGGTTCCAAAGAGGCGGCTACTTTGCCCGAAGAAGGGGTTAGAGAAGTTGACTCAAAAGTAACTTGTCATGTAGCTACTTGTTGTCTGTGCAGAAATATCCAAGGAGTTTCACTTGTGGCAAAGTCTTCCACTCACTGGAGGAATGTGCGATGGTACTTCTCAACCTGACGCAAGAAGTACAGTTTTGTGGTGCTTTCAAAACAGTAGCTGGGTTTTAACCTGTATAAATAGAGGTTTAAGCATCCCCTGCTTTGTGTAATACAGCAAACAAATATCATGGGAACCCACACCTTCAACAAGGTAACCTCCCTTGTTTTCCTGGTTTTGTTTGCTTCTTTACATTCTTCACTTCCCTTTGCTTCTGCCTCTAGTGAAGAAGTAAATGCTCTTCTCAAATGGAAATCCAGCCTCCAAAATAGAACTCTGTCTGTCCTATCTTCGTGGACGCTGCTTCCCCACAATGCAACCAACTCCAAATCCTGCACCGGCCCCTGCACCTGGTTCGGAATTTTTTGCAATGCCCAAGGAAGTGTTGCTAGAATGAATCTTAGTGTTTCTGGTATATCAGGTACGCTTGATGAGTTTCCTTTTACGTCTCTCCCA